ACTTTATTCTCTTTCAGGAGCAATATGTGTTTTTACACCAATCTGTGATGGTAGCTCTGGTCTGTGGGAATACTGAGGTTTCCTCTCACGACTTACTGATAAGAATGAACAAACTCGCCAGAGTTAATAAAACTTCTAAGCAAACAGGATACGCTGAAGAACTAAAGGTATCAGTAGCTTAAAGTTGAGATAATTATCATTATCATTATCATTATTATTATCATTATCATCTTCTTCATTACACTCAGCTGGATGGTTTGCTGGAGTATACCTGTGCAAACATCAAGCCACCGCCTGTGGCCTCAGGTATCTAAGACTTTGCTGATGATCGTGGCTGTTCCCAGTAATTGAGCACCCTCTCTGTCCACTTACCACTGTCCTATATCTTGTCTCCTCCTCCTCCTCCTTCTCCTCCTCCTCCTCCTCCTCCTCATCCCTCAGAGCAAACGAGGGACTACTCGTAGTCTACGCGAAAACGTGTCCCCGGTAGAAAGGTCACTCTCCTACCCGATCCACCCTGGGTGGGCCAACTTTTCCCACATTTCATTACAAAACTTGTTGAACCTGTTTACATGAGAAACAAAGTGTTTGCTCGGCTAAAAGGGGGACCCGCCTGGCTGGGTCACTCTTTTATGGTGGTAGAGTCATCCTTCTTACCAGGCCATTTCTTTTCCTTATAAACACTTTGGCTCATCCAACCGGGTCAACCCGATCAAGGCGAGAAAATCAGAGCGTGCGCAAGCTCTGTTGCCAGCTTTTGGTTCGGGCAAAGGAGTCAATTTTATTCTCATATAAAAAAACCGCTCAAGTTGACTCGGCCGGGAGGGTGCCCAGTACCTTCTTTCATGGGAAAACTTTTCTCTACCTAAACAGGTCCTTATGATGCCTACATATTTAATACAATGTGTGATCAAACAAAAATGGGGAAAAAAATTCCGATAAGCTGGGTGGCACTTCAGAACTAAGTGAGGGAATGTTTAAAGGGAACCTCCACTCTTACCACAGAATAAGTTTAAATCGAATAAAATTATGTTGATAAACAAATTTGTTCGAAATTTGTCCTTAAAAAAAGTGTTTATATCAGGAAAAGTGAATTTTAAAATCGCTTATTTTCACTTTCAAATTTCGCAGGCACCGCCATCTTGAATAATTGTGACGTGTTACGGTTGCTCTATTGTTCTGACACAAAGAGCTTTTGTTTAATAACAATAGGGCAACCGTAACACTTCACAATTATTCAAGGTGGCGACGCCCGCAAAATTTAAAAACAAAAATAGGCGAATCTAAAAGTTATTTCTTTCGGATACAAACGCTTTCTTTAAAAATATTTTAGATTGACTTGACTGTAACAGTTATTTCCTGTGATTTAAAGTTATCTTTTTGTTGAAGTGGAAGTTCCCTTTAACAAAAAATACTGAACAATAGTACCGTCTTGTGGTGTAAGTTCCTCTCCAAACGTTTCGGGCTTGGTCCTTCATCAGTGGAGTTACAAGTACGTTGGAAAAACGCATCGGAAGCGCCTGAAGATGCGCCTTATTTTTCAGCTTGGCACCAGTCATCCACGCGGCTTTAACTCCGACTTCCATATCCTCTAGGCCACGGGCAGAGCCGCTCGCGCACTACAATTTTTTTTTTGGTGTTTATTTTTTCTTCCATGGCGTATGCAAAACCATGCAAAGTTTGCAAAGTACTTGCAACTCCACTGATGAAGAATCAGGCCCGAAACGTTTGGAGAGGAACTTAAACTACAAGACGGCACTTTTGTTTAAAAGTACCTACGCCTTTTAGTGTCTGCAGATAATCGGTGATTTTGAAGGATCTGAAGAAGAGTCAACGGTGGCGCTTCAACCGGCCAACATCAAGAAGAACAGGTTTCCGGATATCCTTCCATGTGAGCCTATTTCAACTGTTCGTTTCCAATACTCATTATAAGGCATGATTCTTGTCATATATTTAATAGTTACAATGAGTAGTTAAATTGGGGCTATGTTGGCCATTTTTTTCCCTCCGTAGTGGATAATGGTCGACTGATTTTAAACTCTTCTGAACCGGATAAAGATTACATCAACGCTTCATTTGTTGACGTAAGTACATAATCATTGCATTTTGGTGGGATAGTCTTTAACACCCAACAAATGACTCAATTTTTCTAGCTGCCATTGCGTTACTTACGAAGAATATCGTCGTTGTAAAATACAGTAGCAGTGAATCAATGATCTCTGTAGACTGAATTTCCAACAATTCTCCGAGCATTGTTGAATGAATTTCTATTTTCAAAATAATTATAACCATCCGTCCTGAAATTCTTATTATTCTTTGAAATTAACAAATATTCCCAGCAGTTTAATTCATTATTGCTTTCGAGTATGCAATAAATTCTAAGATTGAGTAAGTGTGTCATCATTCATCATACTTTTCATCGCGCGGGGAAGGAAGAGGGAGGGGGAGTGAAGGGGAGGGGGGGAACAAGACAGGTTTTGGTCCAGGCTGTTGAGGGAAGGGGGTAGGGTGATTTACCCATCCCCTCCCTTTAACTGATGCAGACAGAATCCTTAGCAGTTACCCAAAAACCCAGTAACGCTGAAGAACGCTTGAAATCACCAAGCACCGTCCTCTCCAAAGACTTGCCTGCCATTTACGCTTTGAACTTCCCAATCTTTCAATCTTTCTTTTGTGCGATAGGACTATATCCGACGTGACACGTACATTCTGACTCAAGCTCCATTAGACAACACCATTAATGACTTTTGGCGCATGGTATCACAGTATGATATTGGGACGGTGGTGATGCTCAACAGCCTGGAAGAAGGAAAAGAGGTCAGTCTGTGAATATATCTTCTCTCAGCTTTGACTTGAATTCGAAAAAAATATCCGCAGGTTGGTGTATAGCATTTTTTTTTCTGAGGAGATCATTTTACCAGTAATCACTATGTGGCAATGCTACCCTTTTCGCAATCAGTATCACCACTAGTACGTGTAGTTTGCATGGTCAGAATTAAACCTGTTTATCTCAGTATAGCGAAAAGCTCGTCAGAGTAATGCTTCCATCAGCAGCTTCTCGAGTCGTTCATCGGAGGATAGATCAGCTCGAGAGTTTCTAACCTGTCGGTAACAAGGGGCAGGAAAAGGCCATGCGAGGCTGCGTTCGATATCTTGAAGAAGTTCCTTCACATCGCCAGCCTGCCTGCAAATAAACAGCAGCGAAAAACAACCAAACAAAAACGATAACAAAGACGGCGACGACGACGATTAGTAATGATTTCAGATTCAAGTTTGGTCGAATTTTACATTTACATGTATGTCCTTTGTCGTGAATTTTATGAACTACTTTTAGGTCTACCCACAATACTGGCCTTCTAAAGGAAGTTCTAGGTATGGGAACATCACTTTAGAGATGCTTTCAGAATCCACAGCGAACGGAATCACGACCAGGAAGATCAGTATAGCAAATACCGAGGTATTTCTATCTACCTTTCTAACTTATTCATAGAATGGATCTGTCACTGTTGTCTAGTTCATTTTGTTTAGAATGCCTGTCACGCATTCTTATTCGTTTTGAAACTTACCATGAATGACATTAGTTTAGGTTTCTGGGAAACTGCCCACCTACCCCTCCCTTAAGCCAACATTTTGCCCTACGTGAGAAGTAAGTGTTAACGTTGGAATAGGGGAAGGGTAGGTGTGCAGTTTCCCAGAAACCTAAATTGATCTGTCAAACAAAGTAGGTCTTCCAAGCATTAATTAAGCAGTTGTTAGAAACAACAAGAACAGAACTTAAGCCAACAAGTTTTCAAAAACTACAATTACTATTCGTTTCAATCTTCTTTGAGTTTTTCCGTCTGTGTTTCCTTTTGTATTTGTTTTGTCATTTATACCCTCTTTTAACATTTTGAACGGTTATTTTAATGTTTCACTCAAATTGGCAGCGGTTCCCACAGTTTGAATTTTGATAAATTTCGTGACACAGCTCCTTTGAGTCCGTAATTAAGTGTTTTAGCAGTATAAACAAGTATTGCTGGTTTAAACGTGACGTCACGGCGGCCATGTTGGTGGTCAAGAACAAAAGCATTTCTCTCCTCTGGGAACGAAACTCTATTTTCATGTAAATTCTTCGAGGAAATATTCTTTTGTTTTGACCCCCAACATGGCCGCCTTGTCACGTGGTTGCAAACCAAGAATACGTCACTTCTGTGTAAATACGCTGACCCGCCCAAATCTTAGAAAGCTATATACCTGAAGCACCTTTATTTCTTTTAGTCTCTCATCTGCACGTTATCTGTTTTCATTATCTGCACATCACTAGTCAGTTGTTACTATACAGGATCAATAGAAGGCAACATTCTAGGTGATTTCGATGTTATGATAATGTTGCTTAGTTGCACTGGGAGTATCATTATATACCTAATTCAATAAAGGTTGCTTTGGTAATTGGTCATTGGTGATTAGGCATGGGGTATTGGATATAGAGCGTTTTCACTCACGTGACCAGCATTTATGCAATTTTATTGGAATAAAAGAAAGCGTTTACATAAGAAAAGAGTTCAATTCCCACAGGACTGGTTTGGAACAACATCATGGCCGCCGTGACGTCATGTGAAAACGCTGTATACCCATATCATTGCAATGATTGGTTTGAGTAACCGCTCCTGGTAACCGCCAAACAATAGCTTCCCGGGGAGCAATTGCCCAATGCCCAAAGCAGCCTTACTGAATCAGGTATATATCTCAGCGAAAACTTTTCACTTGACGGTTTTTTTAGCCTCCCAAGAAAAACTCGACGGTTCAGCACCTACAGTTCACTGCCTGGTCAGACCCAAACTCCTGCCCAGATCCCCAGGAAATACTTCGTTTATTGACCGCCGTGCAGAAGTCTCAGCAACAAACAGGAAATGGAACAATTGTTTTTCAGTGCAGGTACGAGGGTCAACACTTATTTGAATGAGGCATGGGCATATAAATAAGTAAATAAATAAGCTGTTTATTAATTTCAAAAAAACGTTCAAGATAGCCTCAGCCACGGATTGCTCGACACCTTTTTGGCAACTGTTGCTATTTGGAGCAACTTTCTGGCAACTTTTGCCATTTGGGGCAGAAGATCTTGATCCGAGAGGGCAGTAGTTTTAAATTGCATTATTGTACTTCACTGACGGCACTTGGCAAAATGTGGCTGTCATTTTGATTTTAAGGAACAACTTTTGACCAATTTTTTAGGAAAGTCGGGCAACTTTTAAAGAATTTTGGGGCAACGTTTAAGAACATTTGGAGCAACTTGAGGCTGAGGGTAGTTCCAGATTACAATTGACAATTAGACAAAATTGACACCTGTTAATAAAACACCGTTTAAAACGGTACACAGGAACGACCATGACTGCTTACCAATCTTGTTTCACTGGGTGGGAGGAGATCTGCCAAAGGGCAGTCAGTAGAATTTGTAACGCTCCTCCATAACTATTATCTGAGGAGTCTAGAAGGCTTAAAATGGGCGTGGCCTCCTTGAGAAAGCCAGGACGAACTGCTCTCTCCTGAAACATCAATTTAGGAAAGACACTTACTATAACTTACTTCGTCCTAACTTTCTCCCTCTTTTCTACCTTCACTTTTAGAATGGTTTGACCAAAAACATGTTTCATAAGATAAATTGAAAACAGTTTATTTTTCTCAAAGAATTGTAATAAACTTGAGTAGCGGAATATCGTTTGGTTGAGTGGATTTGGAAGGATCCTATAAGTTAGTACCTCAGTCTAAAACAGGCTTATGATCAGAGGATAACTTTGCAAGGGTTTGTAGTGGATACATTCCTAGGACAGCTTGCGAGGCAACTGGTGCATGCTCCAAACTTGCTGATTTGAAGTTCTTAGCACGGACAGTTGTTGCACTGGGTCAAGAAAACCTACCGTTTTTAGTAAAATGAGCTCTTTGTTTGCCCAGTCCCAATACTTTTCTTGGGACCTGACATGGCGTATTTGTATCACCCGACTTACCACCTGGAAAGATCCTATTGCTTCCATATTTGGACTAAACAAATCCTTTTTCTATTTTTTTTTTCTACAGCGACGGTGTTGGACGCAGTGGAGTCGCAGCAACCGTAATGTCCGCGATTGAAAAACTCAAAAACGAACAAACTGTGGATGTGTTACAGACGGTCAATCTGATTCGCGTAAAAAGACCCTTTGCTGTTTCAAATGTGGTAAGATAAACTGCTTAAAAGTACGATCTTCGAGCCCTCTAGACTTCTTTCTGTAGTTTTGTGTTGTTGTTGTTTTTTTGGGGGGGGAGGGGGGCGGGGGTCTGTTTAACCTTTTCCAGGCGTTCAGATAGTAGAGCGCGGGCGAAAAATTAAAAAAAGAGGGAAGACAAGTCTCCCCTCCTTTTTTTCCCGTCGTTTTCCCAGCGTACGATTTAACTCTCTCTCCACCATCTGAACGCCGCGCTTTATTATCGGAGCGCCTGGAACATAAAATAAACTGTACAGGGAAAAGGGAATGCATATATGAGGAAATATGCGCATCGAGAAAGACTGTGACAGCATGCTTTATTTCATAGTGTTAACATTATTTATAATCGATATTGTTTATCACTTTTAGGAGCAATACATGTTGTGTTACAAGACAGTCCACGCATATTTGGATTCCTTTGGCGAATATGCGAACTTCTCAAAGCGATAGTCCTCTGGATTACAAACGGCTTATTCTTATTCTTTCTCGTCCTTGCATTTTTGACACAGGTCCTATACACAGGTCCGCACTTCACGAGACTTTCACCCACCTTAACTAGTCAAAGATGAGTTTTTGCACAGCCGCTCTAAGTTAGGGAGGTTTAAATTTTAAAACAAATATGATTATACTACAAGTGTGAACGCAGCTTAGTCTTGTAGTTTAATTTAAAATGACGTTAAACATCTACGCAGGAGCGACAAATCAAAATTCATAAAGGAGAAGAAGAGGCTAACATATAGTGATTTCAATTAATCATTTTTGAGCTTAACTACTTAAATTTTCGTGGAGTGGATCTCCACCCCGGTAAAGGTTGAAAATGCTGTTAGGTTTTGGATTTTTTATGTTAAATCTTAACCCCCAACCCGCAAGTGAAAAACAACGCTGCCCGCTGCGTAAATTATTAATAATTCTTACCAAGGCGTCTATAATTATAATTATGTAACTGAGTCGTAACAGTGAAACTTGAAAGGCGAATAGTTCACTCAGTCTGCTTGGCGGCAGTATGCTTGCCATTGAAAATTGATTAACTAATCGAAAAGATTATTGGTCATGTTTGAAGAATGGAAGTTAAATTTTATACAGCAATAATTTATTAATAATTGCAAGGGACGGACCATTAGAAATTTATGGGGGGGGGGGGAAAAAAAAAAAAAAAAATTCGCGCAAGGGAAAATTAAATGAAAAAAAATTCTTGCACGCCAATTAACCCTAAAAAATATTCATGCTATGGCCCCCAAACAAATTCGGACAAAGAATTCTCCCCCCCACCCCCCATAAGTTTTCTAATGGTCCGTCCCTAAGAGAAAATTTAAAATAAGTAAGTACATTTAATAGTTATCGGAAAGAAATAGAATTATTTATTCGTGAAAATAATAAAATGAATTTTCTTAGTACCGTAAAGGACAATAGGCGTTATGTCGTTTACGGAATTTGCAACAATTTCTCGCACTTCCTAACTAGGGCCAGCAATATATCCATGTATATGGTTGAAGCTTTCACAAGCGATTATGTATCCGCACATATAAACAGAATGGAGATAGATGACTATTGTGAAGCAATAAAAAAGATTCTTTGAATAATCATTGTCAAGGATATATATTTTTCTTCATTCTTCAATTAATACTGGAGATTAAACTCGATTTCCATTTGCAATTGTGTGTGACAAATCAAGTTCTGAACCGAACAATTGCGATGAAAGTTACGGCTTTTGGGCAGAACGTAGCAAAGAGAAGATGATCAGGAGAAGTGGCAACGGCAGTGGCAGCAGCAGTAGCAGGAGTAGAAGCAGCAGCAGCAGCAGCAGCATCAGCAGCACCAGAAGTACAGGAGTACTAGCATAAGCACCGGCAGTATCAGTTGCAGTAGCAGGGGCAGTAGCAGCAGAAGAAGCAATATCAGCAGCAGTAGTACTTCCAGGAGCAGCAGAAGCGCCCGGGAGGGGCTGTAGCAGTAGCAAAAGCAATAGCAGGAGGAGAGCAGTAGCACGAGACGCACCGGCAGCAGTAGCAATAGCAGAACCGTAGCATTAGCAAGAGCAAGAGGAGTAGCAGTAGCAGTAGTAAGAACAGTAGCAAGAGCAGTAATAGAGCAGGAGCAGTAGCAAAAGCAGTAGCAAGAGTAGTAGCAGACATTAACAGTTGCAGTAGCAGTAGCAAGAGTGGAAGGAGTAGCATAAACAAAGCAATTATAGCAGAGCAGTAGCAAAGCTGGAAAATAGCAGCAGGAGCAGCAGCAGTGGTTGCAGCGGGAGCAGCAGTAGTGACAGAAGCAGAAGCTGTAGCAGCAGTAGATAATATAATAAGTAATTACTACGTTAGTCGTGATAACCTTTCCAGTTTGGTCTGTGTCGGCTCGCCATCGCCATAAAATGGGAAAGTTGTGTGGTGAGGGATAACAGAAACGAGAATGCAAGTTAAACCACAACCTCGAAATGCCAATGAAAGTAAGTACGCAAACAGATGAGAGTTGTGATGAAAGTTGTATTGCAAACAGATAGCCAAATGCGGAAATACAAACAAACAAAAAGGTTAAAAAAAGGAAAATGGCGTTCAAAAATGCAAATGCGACAGAAAGAAGACACCTCGGGAAACTGAACAATTCTTGGCTTCAGTTACTCTGCCATCAGATGACTCTCTTCCTTTTGTGACTTTTGTGCTGCCACAAAAGACGGTAAAAAAAGAGACGAAACGCCTGATCGTAAAAGAGCTTGCTATATTGCTTCCCTTTGAAAATGTCTTATAGAAAATTTACTGGGTGCAAAATATTCATGTTTCGCTTTTCAATGAAACCATAGTTTATTCACTACAAAAACAATACTAATTCACCCTTTATTTGGGTTGATGACCTCTGTATGTAAGGGAATTAACCATTCTAAAGGGTGTATAAAATTGGTCGGAAAAATAATCGGAGTTAATCCATGTTTTGAGGTTGTTTTGTTTTCCTTGTATTCACCACTGTTAAAGGGACTGTTCGACGGCTGTTAAGATTATTTTGTTAAGTCTGTTAATATTGCCAAGACGCTTCTGTTTTTGTTGGGGCAAGTGCCTGCTACACAGGCTAATTGTAATCCGTTTTAATCTTCTCCAAGTTTGCCCACCAGCCAGCTGTCTGATGTCATCCGTCAGCATCCATACAACCTCGTCCCCAGGACGCTTTCCCCCGGCTCCTGAGGTGAGGGAAAGCGCCCTGGAGACGAGGTTGCTAACCATACCTTCTGTTCTTGCTTATTATTGCGTTTCATTTCACTTAAGCTGGTGGCACTTCGTAATATTTGAATTTTTGAACAATTTCGTGACACAGCCCTTGTAATTTCTTACAAAGGCATATAGACCATAGTTGCGTTACAAACATTCTTGGAGGTGAAACTCACTGAAAGGTCAGTAAACTAGAGTGGCCAACACATGTTTCACTAGGAGGATCTATTTATACTAGGCATTGAAATAATTTTCTCTTAGTTACAAAAAAACGTTGAAGGTGGTATTATTCAAGTGTGAGTACGTTTCAACACTACTCGTTTTTCACGATAAAACGCTCCGATCTTGCCGTGTGGTAGTTTTTTTCTCTGTTTTCAGTGACAGCAAGCAGGAAACAAAGGATTGAAATGCATCTTGCGGCTTTATTCATTATTTATGACAGTGACACGTCTTGAAATCTACACTTTTACAAAGTGCTCTACATCAGGCCCATCAGAGTGTATTCACTGTATTAATACTTGTTGAATGATCAATATATTTTGGAACTGTAAGGACCAGAGGAGGACTTTATTCTACGAGCGAAATGACAGAACTTTGCTTAGCACCAAAAACAAAAACTAGAATTTTGCATGCTATTTAGTTGCGGTTTTTAGAAGAGAGCTTGTTTTGAAGCTTTTTAAGGCGTAACGCAAAGTAAACACACAATCGATCAGCCATACGTTGTTCCAAATGAAAACAAACAAGCTTCCGAGGATATTAAAGCTACCTTTTTATCTGCGGAATTCAATTTGCGTTATCGATGGGCTGTTGACCAAGATAAATTTGGCTGTCAAGGACTATCAAAGCCGCGCCTTATCTTCTTATCTGGGATATCTGCGCGTGTCAATGATTAGAGGACACTAATTGAATTCTCGTGACGAGCCAGTTCATGAAGTTTGTTATTTCTGAGATTTCAAGGTAGCTTCGCTGATAAGGAAGATTCGGCCTCGTGTCATTTCCTCTGAGCCCTTTTACGGACTGCGAGATAAAGTTCCAATCTGCTAAATTGCTCCAACAGGATTAATCACAAATCACACGTCAATGATCACGCCAACGTCCACTGAAGCAAATATAAAGAGGCTTTGGTGGCACCGTCAAGATGATTTCTCATAACTTTTTACTTTTGACGGCAGTTAAACTTGAACTTGCAACAATTGAGATTTTCGCCAAGAAGCTTCTTGGGTCCACCCAGTTCTGAGCTCAGTGACCTTTCACATAAAGTTGGACAGTAATTAATTTTCGCGGAGACGAGAAAGATAATTATGAAGGATAGTTCAGTGTCTTCGGTCAGAGATTTTTTTCTTAGATAAAATACTTGAAAACCCTCAACATGACCAGCCGACAGTAATTGATTTTTGCTTCTAAAAGAGTGAGTTTATTATGTCTGCTACAAGCTTAGAACACCCACGTTTGGCACGTTTTGCTCCGACATCGTTTTATGTAAAGAAAAAACTTTTTCAGTCAAGATTGTACTTTCAGACGCATGCAAACTGACCTGTATTGATCTCCAGGTGTCCGGAGAGTAAAGAGAGATTCAAGTTGTGGGTTTTAATATCATGGCCAACCAAGGTGTTTTGCCTGTGCCTACATGTACAGTAAATTAGACCTGGTAAAATTATAGGGCGCCATAGGCTCTTGTATCTACAAAAAATCATCAGTGCATCGTACGATTTTAATAGGAACTCAAGAACGAAAAAGGTTGCAAAACCATACAGGAAACATACCAATCCTTATTTCTCAGTTACAGCATCCGGTATCGGGGAAAGACTGATCAAGAAAACAAAGCTTAAATATTTGATATTGCTCACATTATTATTATGTCGAACTTGAAACACTAAATGGCCAAACAAAGCAGAAATCAAACACACTTTTCATCTCGATGTTGCTTTTGTAAACACAGCGTTTACATGAAAACGATTTTTCAACATGTTTAGGCTTCATTTCACACGGTTTCATTTAACCATGAGCTGAGGCATTTGAGGGCAGAAGTCGTCAAGCAGCGATATTTCCCGCGGTGATCAACTTGTTATAAACGGACAATAACAAACGCGATATTATATTTCAAGTATCATATACCAGCTACAAACGGACTCCGAGAGCTCTTAATGTTGCGTCCACTATAAAAGCCTGAGGGAAATTAATCCGTGAATGAATCTTGACCTTAACATCCAACTTTGATTACGCTGATCTTGAGCAGAACACGCCGTGTAATCTTCACCTAAATCCTGAGTGTCGCTAAATGGTCACAATGAAATGATATTTTGGGAAAATTTATGAGGAGGACGTGACAAGCATTCGCGGGACAGAAAACGAAGGAAAACATTGAATATAAGCGCTTCAAAATGGTGTTTAGTACCTTCATTATGCTTGGTGTGCTGTGGGTTGCAAGGGCCGATTCAAACGGTGAGTATTGAACCAGTATCCATGTATGCCGTAATTTCTATCAAAATACATCTGGTCTCTAATTTCTTTGAGCTCTTTTTTTGTTCGCTGCTAACCTTTTCTTGTACTGGTATCAAAATTTAGGAAGTCTTTATATTTATAAGTTTGTGATCTAATGGAACTGTCGCACTAAAGTCGCATCGTTATTTCTCTCATGTTGACTCGACACTCATCACGTTTCTATACTAAGTAAAACTTCCTAACAGCCATTTTCAAGAGAACACGTTAACTTTCCTTTAGAGTTAGGCTACAACACTTTGTATATGAAACTCACAAACAGCTGAATTCAGTTTCTCTTCTAAAGAAACGCTGCAAAACGTGGGTAAATCATTTGTCGGCTAAACTTTTGAAGTGATGATTTAACATACTCGCAGCATTATAAGATCACAATGCCTTTCCAGGAGAATTAATTAACGTCCAACTTGCTGTAATTATGGCAAGAGTTTATGCTCTGGTATGTTCTTATCTCGCTCTACTGGTATTGGATGATGGCAATGAGTCATTTATAGAACAATTTGTCCCTTTTGAATTTATTACAAACAGCTACAACAGTAATGTTAAACCAATCATAATTATATTATAGAGACATAAATCGGGTTGTATTCAGCCAAGATCACATATTTATAACATGCTCATGTTTCTTGATCATACATCCTCTGATCAAAACTGTCACTCAGGAATTTCAGGCGATTTATTGATCTTGCTGTTTTTGCGTTTCATCAAAAACTTCCCATTATCAGGCTGTGTTTATCGTGGGTCCTAAGTCTATCATCTCTGTTTACCATTCCTTTCAAATTGTTTCCATTGTTTCCCAGTTGTTTCAAAGTTTTGCTTTCTAAACAAACAACAGTTATGCCAGTAAGATGTGCTTGTCATTTTGTAAACTAGTCAATGGACGATCGAGGCACTTTTACGATATTTTTATATTCAAGTTATTTCTTTTTCGTCTTTTTTTCGTGTCGGCAAAAATCCTCGATGACGGAAAGTTGTCATTCAACTTAATTGTGTTGAACTGTCCTTTTTTTGTTGCTGTGATGTTTCTTTTTCAGCATTTCTAAAAATAAGAATCCCAGTTTTCAGCCCCCTTTGGGCGATTGGTTAATGAAGAAAGAAAGGTCAAAAGCTCAAAATGTGCTGTACCCACTGTTGATTTGAGAAAAAAAAGAAAAACAAACAAAAAATAAGACAGTTTGCACAATACGACCTTAGGAGAGGGTATTGATTATTTAGAACACTCCTTCCTAAACAAGCAATCCGACTGCTGATACGAAAGCTTGAAAACTACCGCCTCGAATCGCCAAGGCAAGCCTACTCTTTACAAATGCTACCAAAGTATGGACATCTGTTCTATTGGCCTGAAAGATCCAAACTTAAACTCCAAAAGTGTTTACACCCCTTGAAACCCTCTCTAAACCACTCTTACTGTCCGAGTACGGAGCAGTGTCCGACTGACTGATTGGTCTGATCGTCCCGATCACCAATAAGTATTTCATTTGCGCAATGAATTAATTGAACCTGATAGTATCGAGCAAAAATTCTTATGTTAGACATCTCTTCTATTTACAAAGGAAAAATTTCATTACAGAGGAAAGCAGGCCTAGGTACCCCGTCAGTATTTCGTTCACTCGGACTGTTGAATTTATAAACGTATTTCCAGTCGTAGTCCTTGAATTATAGCCACCCTCCAGGCTCTAAGCCTTCTCAATGGACACTAGCTGAACGATGAAATAGATCTGTTTTGGCTATATGTTGTCAAGTTTGAGGTTTCCGGCTAAATGAATGAAATAATTTGTCGCAGTGATAATTTGGCAGAAGACCCAAGTGTGTAATCAATTTCCGGTCACTTGGCAATCTCACGCCTTGAAATTCACAGATATACAATGAAACCTAAAGAATCAGTGACAATACACAGATCTTCCCTTCTTTGAAAATTCTGCGTTCATAAAAAAATGTCAAATAAAGCCCCAGTTTGTTCAACCAAAAAGAGAGTAAACTGAAGTTAACTGTTTCAAACCCATGAGCATTTCTGATCATGGCATTTTCAAGTTTGCCCGAGTTCGTAAGGCTTATAGGTGGCGCGCACAGCTTATTCCACGACACGTAATCCACTTTAAGCTTTTAAAACATGCTAGTACGGAAAGTGCAAAATGGATAAAACAAACTCGAATTAAAGCTCTTTTTCCCTGTAACAATGACATATAATATAGGGCGTAATATTGGAGTTCTTGTTTTGCCATCTTTAACTCATATTGGCGAAAGCCAAAACGAAGGAGGAAGTCCTTTGCTGTATACAGCCGTTGCGAGATAGGTCGTCGGAAAAATGTGCACGCGTCAATACTGAAAGGTAATGTGGGATATGATCAAATAAACTGTGCCTGACTTTGTAGCTCTCGAACCTACTTTTGTTGCTTTCCTTTAGCACTCGCTATCATACGTCCATGGCCTCTCGTGCCATTCTTTCAAATTTCTTCGAAGAACAGTTAACTCAAAACCACCTACAATTAAAGCTTTCGGGATTGTCGCGTGCACTTTTTTCCGACAACCTTTCTCGAAATTAGAGCTTTAAATTCAGTGGCTGATCGAAGGCAGATTAAAGAATTATACTGAACCAAATACGACATTGCTTTAAGCAGTGTCGTGACAAGAGAAGTTGATTCTCTCGTGCACTTTAGTAGGGGGTCATTATTGGTGACTAGGTAACTTCAGTGTCTCATCTCATCATGTACGGTGCATCTCATAATCGACTAATGCAGCCGTCTCCTACCAGAGAATCGCATATCCTACCCATATCGCTTTCGTAATCTTGCGCGCTGGCTGGCTTGCCAACGGGTATGATGATGCTTTCCTAGCGGGCACACTAAGTAAATGCTACCAGATTCAATACTGGTTCGTTTGTGTGGTGATTTCCTCCTAACTTCTAGCCTGCGAATACAGCCGTTTCGCGAGTTGCAAGGAGTAAAGACAAACGACTGTATTCGCAGGTTACCTAACTCCTTAAGGCGGCTACATTCACGTTCGCAATTCTTTTTGGTTACTGACGAACAACACAATTTCCCTTTTCGCCAGGCGCCGAGACCCGTTTCACCAAACTGTTTTAAAACCCTCCAAGAAGAAGTCCAAAGAGGGATTGAATTTGGTTAACAGTGTGGACCTGGCGTGATTTCGAACCTTTTTAAAGACGATATGGGTTTCATTTTCATCACTTAAAGTGCTTTAGTTTTCACTCAAAACAGCTGCAAGCCACATTTGTGCCTCGACCGTCCTGATTCTGCTAGCATGACATAAATAGAAAACTATGCTTTTAAAAAAAAATGCGGTATAGGTGCAAGAGATGACTATAGGAGAACGGCACCAAGCTACAGTGCAGGGACGATAACCTTTAGAACTGTATAGCTCATCAAAACCAACGTCGGAGGTTTTATAAACTTTCTTAAACTAGGCCAGTTTTTCACCCCTGTTACGTCTTTCTAGTTATAATTAGATTATGGTCATTCATTTTACTCTCTATACATTGTTATCGCCTCGTTAGCAATATTTTGCTCTTTGTTAAAATAACGTTTTTCGCTTCCCTTCTAGCATTTAGAGCAGATAAGACTAATTTTTTAAATATTGTGTTTTATAATTTGTCTTAATCTTTTCAATGCAATCTTGTCTCTGCACCTTTTTAGCATTTAACTTTACATCAGTAAGTAATTGTTTCCATGTTGTTACTTCAATCTGTACGATACTGAGTTGAAGAGAATGAAGGCACAAATCTACAAGGAATTAACAAACAGAGAAATTTCATTTTTCTAATTCTCCTCTATTCCCTTCGCGAGCGTTGCTTTGCCTCTTCTGTAAACCTTTTTAGGTGTAAAAATATTGCCAGGTTTTGTTCAGGTATGAATATGGGACTGCATGGACTTTTCGCAGAAGCACGCAAGATCCTTTTATTTAGAAAACGCTGTAACATACACGCAACTGTCCTGATTCATTCAACGTTCTCTCTTTTCTTTCGTTTGCATTCCCTTTCTTTTCTTTTAGCATTTCAATATGTCTTATTCCCTGAAAATCACGAGGACATAATTTCTTGATGACGATTGGTCAGCCTTTCTCGTTCTTGTGTGGTTAAGGATGATTTTCATGGTTAACGTTTGCTTAGGGCAATATTGAACAAAACCTAACATCGATGTTTTTGGCAATAAACTCATTTCCATACTAACACCCCAAAAAAGACCCAAATTATAGAGGGCGTAAAATTGAAACTGCTTTCAAATCTGGATATGCGCTTTGGTGACTTTTATGTTACGAATCGTGCGCAAGAACAACTTTCCATTTGTGACATTTTTCATTTTCACATAAAAATAAATAACTACATTTTAAGAAAAAGTAAGTCTTAATTTAGCCTGGGTAGCACGCGTCTAACTTTCGCGGGTTAGAAACGAAATGTCGGCTGTATTCAATATTATTAACATCTTCTGTAGTTCTCACAACTAATTTTTCTTTCCTTTCAGAGCTTGATCCACCTAGTTATCTTGTTGGGTATGTAACTGGTGATACGTCGATCAAACTCTCCTGGGAAGTTAAATCTTCTTCAAACAATACAGTGTTTGAGCTAAGGTGGAAAATAGGCGACAACGAATCGTCTATGTTGCTTCCCGGTTCAACTGGAACTATCACACTAAAGAATCTCCGAGTTTACACTCAGTATCTCTTTCGAGTAAGAACAGGTACTGTGGATGGCAAATGGGGTGCATTTACCAAATTCACAAGTATCTGGACCCCGGAGGGAGGTAAGAATATGAACGGTTATGACAAAAAACAGCGTTAATTGGTCTATTCTCAGACCGTATATTTTTTTCTTTAAAGATCGTTCGGCGCAAGTATGAACTGCCTGAGATTCATTAACTGCCAGCGCAGTGGGGTTGGGTGGGTAAATGCCACTGTCGTTCTTGCATGTTCAAATATCCTGAAACAAGTAAACAAAGAAAGAAAAGACGAACACGTCTATGGACAGGCTAAGTGTTAACAAGACAAATCATTATTATTCTTTACAAAAGGGACAAAGCCCAAAAATATTAAATCGTGGGCATGTGCACCTCATCTCACCTCATGTGCAAACATGGAGGCCATATAGAAAGGGTTACGCCCGCAATGAATGATCAGATTTCTGGCAAGCTCCGAACATGTCTCGTTATCCGGTATATGACATTTGCAGACTGCAGACTGCCGACTGGAGACCGCAGATTGCAGATTGTAAATTAAAAGACACTAAAACTCTTCCTAATAAAGGTGACACCATCAAAAATATACCATCGTGTGAAAGTGAGAAAGTAGCCTGGGAACAAGGTTGATATTTTTGGGCAAAGTTACATTGGCCTCATTTCCAAGTTGCTGTTGGCTATTCTTTTTATTAACTCACCCGGCATATCACTAATTGTGATGATTCTTTTTTCTTCTTTGAAATTGATAATGACAAGTAGTAATGCCCACTAATGCCTGTCTAAATAGTAGTCTTCTATAAAAAAAAAGTTTTTAGATTGCGAACACTTCGTGCTCACTACAGTTACATTGACACAAACAACTACGATAGATCACGGACATTTAACATCTTTTAAATGACGTATTTCAGCAAAATAATCTAAACCGAACAGATCCTACGAATTGCCGAAAGTTCATTTTGAATTTCTAAATAGGCAACTTGAGAATGGCTTTTTTAACAGGCCAATCATTGCTCATACTCAAATCCTAGTACACAGGTAGGGACCCCGTAGAGTAAGGATTCCGGCCCTGTTTCGCAGACTTATATAACCAGAGTTTAGTTTCATCTGTGGTGTAGGCTAAATTGCTATGGATTTATGGGCGAGTTTGTGACATCGGCAGACATTATTCTGCTCTAATTCAATACGAGAAGAACAGCCAACAACTCCTTCAGGAATGAGGTCGGTGTAATTTGCGTGAAAAATGTAAACTTCGCTTCTAGGCCTTACATGTACTTCTCAGAACAAGGTAATGTTGATGATGACGCCACCTTTATTACGATATTTTTGGTGTCATTCAATTTACAGTCTTGCTGCCTCATGCAGTCTGCAGTCTGCAAATGTCATACACCGCTCATTATCCGGCAGCGTCAGGTCAAAAGCGTAACTCTCTTCCTTTAAAAGGGTCTATGTTTTACCAAAGGGGGCAAAACCATCAAATAATATGCTTGGTCGTCAAAAGAAACTTTAATTTTATGGGTGTGCATGGTTCGTCTCACCAGGAGAAGACGCTACGACTATGAATTAAGAGTCAAACTTTTCAGTCTTTGCCCGTAATTTCCACAGTCTCTTTCCGCCAAACTTTATTTAATTTCATGTGCCATTTTTATCATTGGAGAGTTGCAAAATTTGATTTAGAAACATCTTAGTTAAGAACCTGTTGAGATACAAGGGAAGAGTAAAATCACGCGTATTTTTTTACTAATTAAAACTTTTAACTGAACTAATCGCCATCTATTTTGTAATAGTACCCACAGCCCCGCCAGACAGTGTGACAGCATACAACACCAGTTCCTTCAGCATTATGGTGTTTTGGTCGCAAGTTCCCAATCGCTACCGTAACGGCCTGGTGGTTGGTTACAAAGTCTGCTATAAACGTGCCGATATCATTGAGAGTGTGTTGTACTGCATAGCTGTTTATGCCCTGGGGATAGAAATTGGGGGCTTGAAAACATATACACCTTACTGGATCACAGTCCTGGCTTACACTACCAAGGGCGAAGGTCCAACGAGTAAACCTCTATTGGTGTGGACTGATGAGCACGGTGAGTGAAATTTTTGTCAACAAAGTTTTTAGATTCAAAACTTAGCCGAGGAAAGACAACGAGCAGTTGTCCCAACTCTTCGACGGGCTAAATTTATCGCGAATCTTGCCCACGTTTAACAATAGTGGCTATGGGAAACGCCTTGAGGACGAGGTTGCAATAGTGGTTGTTGAATTATGTTTTAAACGAAGTTAATGGAAGCTAACAAAAAATCTCTGGTAAACAATTAAGAAAAATCAAAGGAAAGCTCTAAGAAGTCTACAAGGAGTGTCTCCTGAAGTAAAAAGTAACCTTACTTCCCTACTGGCTGAGGCCAGACAAACAGGCTGACTTTAATTATTGACTGACTACTGACAGAGTGACTGACTGACCTACGGACAGACTGACTGACTGACTTGTGACTGACAGACAGACAGACTGACTGATTGACTGACTGACTGACTAGTGACTGACTAACAGACTGACTGACTCACTGACTGAAAAACTGACCGACTATCTGACGGACGGACAGACTGACCAACTGACTGACTGAGGATGAACCTTTTTGTTTTGATACTAAGAAGTGATGGTGCATTTCAGTTTCCGATTTTCTTTGTCTTTCAGTTCCGTCAGCAGCACCGAAATTATTGTCTTTTCATCCAACATCACTGCAATCAAATTTTCTTGGGCCCCAATACCTCAAAAGCACGTTAACGGAATCTTGCGTGGTTACTACGTCATCTACTGGCAGTGGCCGCGGGCGTCTCCTGACAATCTTGTGATTCAAGTAAACCAGTCAACTCAGCGTGGTCATTACAGGTCTCCAGGAAAACACCACATATGGGATACGCCTGGCAGGGCTTACTAAAGTCAGGGGCCACATTAGGAATGGCGCTCTTAGCCATACTTATAATGTTACTACAAAGTATGGTAAGGAGGAATGATTTTGATATTTCTCGTCAATTTAATGCTGAACTTTTGTATCACTTTGTCAGAGTCACGTGTCTACTTTTTCTGCGAACATCAAATCGGCAGATAACATCTCTATCAACATTAAACAACAGCATTATACCTAACAGACTTGAAAGGGCGCTATTCCGGTAAAACTTAGGTCTTTGTTGGAAAATAGGGGAGACCAAACATCGGTGAGTGTTGTTTAAAATCTCTAATTTTGAAGTTAATGATTGGTGGTATTAAGATTACAACGAGGATAAACTATTAATTTGTTGAAATTATTATAGTTGGAGAGTAAGCGATTTGTGTACAGAAAGAAAGTATTAGAGCAAGTAGAGAATGGGGAGAAATAATCAAACTAACCGCTGCTTGATTAGCTCAGTTGGGAGACCTTCGGTCTGCTAAGCGGTGGGTCGCGGGTTCAAACTTCGGTCGGACCGACACTCAGGTTCTTTACCGAAATAACTGAGAAGACAGTGCTACCTTTGTAATGACATAAGCACACGGTAAGACTTTCTAGTCTTCTCGGTTAAGGACAAAAACCGTAGGTCTTGTTTCACAGCACTCTCACGTATCAGGTTCTAGTAGGATGGAAAAGAACCCACACCACTGTTCGAAAAGAGTAGGGGACGTAAACGCCGGTAGTGTGGCCAACCTTTCCTGGGATAGGTGGGTTATCTGTAAGGAGATACCTGAATATAGGGATAACCTTACGTTCCTCCTTTAGATGTCGTAATGGCTACCTGTAAATAGTGTATGAACGTGTCGAACTACTACTGAATATTCATTGTTAGGTCTTAGTCACTGTAATGTACGGCTTAATAAGTCACTAGCTTTAAACACTTGCACTTACGACAGGTTATTTGTTAAACCTCTTTATTTTTCTCTACAGTCTTAAAAGCTCCGCAGAACGTCAAAGTATTCAGTTCCTGTTCTACCTGCTTGAGAGTAAGCTGGGATCCAGTTTACATTCCTGATATTGACAATCCTGTAACAGGCTATCGCCTAATATACCGTGACACATCAGGAAGGTGTACACTAACGAACTTGGACCTAAACAATCCACTGTTCATCTGACGGGTCTTGTCAAGTTTTCTACATACACGATAACAGTGTCTGCAATGACTGAAGCAGGATCGGGGAGGACCAGTGAACCCATTACTATTGTCACGCTCGAGGACGGTTAGTTGCATCCTCATATACCATGACCCATAATACTATGGTTATAATTTTTTATCAGTTTTTGTCTGTTTGCTGTTTTGTCGGTTGGTTTTGTTTTCGTTTTGTTTTTGTTTTTTTTTTGTTTGTTTGGTTTTTTATGTTTGCCATCTTTTTGTTTTGCTTTTTCCCTAATCACTTGTCGCGATAAAAATAAGGCTCTAGAGTTCAAGTAAGTAAAGGAAATAAAATGGAACAGTCAAATTAAAAAATATGTTAACAGGGTAAGCAACAGAGTTATGAAAGATGCACATAAATACTGACATGTGAGTGAATTGCGGGAGTGGGTAACCAGTAACCTCGGGAAGATGTCTGAGGAACGAACGCAGAAAATCAACACTGATGAGGTCTCACTAACCAGATCTGGGTGGTGCTTATGATTCGTTGAATCAAATTTCCCTCTCGGCACGACCAATGGGAGACACTACCCGGATCCCAGATATGAACAGTGACGCATCGTCAGTATGGAAGTTCTGCGCTCCTTCCTCGGACGTAATTTCGCGGCGAAACCAGTGATATCGTCCCAGAATGTCAGATGGTTTCTCCGACTACTCCCGACAAAAATAACACTGTATTGTTGGTCTTAGTCCCTAGCCGCGCCCCAGTATCAATCCAGGTGCAAAGCACTGGACCTCGAAGTATCTTAATAGAGTGGAGCCCGGTCTCCCAGCAGTACGTGCACGGTATTCTACGAGGCTATCACGTTTACTACAAAACGGGAAAGCCCAAAGTTAAACGTTCGACAAGTCTTGTGGGGGTAATAAAGGCCATGTCTGTTAACAAGTCGAGTCAGAATTTGGAAATAACAGGCTTGGAACCCTTCACCAGCTATGATGTTTGGGTTGCTGCGTTCACTGATGCGGGCAGCGGACCATCAAGTACTCCTGTCACCGTAGTTACCGATGAAGATGGTAAAGTACATCACGTGACTTTTCACAAAACAATAGGCCACTGCGGAAAATATTAAATATTGTATTCTTTAAGTTGTCGTTTGGATAGTGATTCATGTAAACCTACTTTTGCATTATCTTTTCTACACAAATAGCTCTTGCGTCCTTTCGCCAGAAATTTGGGTACTGCAGCAGCAGCTTGTGGGTATTGGCTCCTCTACTCAGCTTGTTTGCGTCACGGTGCAAACGCAGTTGTGAGCACCTTTGTCTTTTTAATACATTCAGAAACTTGTCAACGAGAGAAGTGAGACGGAAGGAATTCCTTTTAAAATTTACGTGCCGTTGTAACAAAAGAGGACGGAATAATTATACGCTATAGATTTCTATCAATGGTATTTTTGGAAATCAGTCATTGCACGTGCAGTGGGGCAAAGAGAGAAAGATAATGTGAACCCCAGGTTTACATGAGGCTCTATCCAAATGGCCATTTTGTAGGATCGGAAGAACGGAGTTTTTCAATTCTGTATGAACTTTTCCGACTGCAATGTGACAAATGCAGTAACCTGGAAAATGAACTTTTTTAAATCGACTATCATGCATCTGAAACTACTTTGTTCGTCTTCCTACTAGCACCATCTCGACCTCCACGAATTCGTAACATCTCAGCTAAACCCTCAGAATCGGTGTTCATACGATGGGAACCCATTCCACAGCAACACGTAAAAGGAATACTGCAAGGCTATCAAGTGCATTACAAGGAAGACAGCTCCCGCTTTCCGGTATTAAAGAAGATGATCACGGTAAATGCATCTGTCACACACGCAACGTTGCACCACTTGAAGCCGATGACCAGGTATCGTGTTTGGATCGCAGGCTTTACGGCAAAGGTGCTGGACCTTCTAGCGAGAAAGAGTTTGTCTCCACGCCTCAAGCCGGTATGTTTAAGAAAGTTGTAATTAATTAGGATATCTTTCAGAATACAACACTAACATACAATACCCTATACCGAGGCCGTAGAAGCTTTGCACCGGACACTGTAAGTTTCTTTTTCTTATTCTTCCTTATCATCTTCTTCTTTTCTTAGCGATAAATTGATTTTGGAGGTTTCAATTGGGGTGCTGCGGGAGGGTGGGGGGGGGGGGGTTGGCAAGGAGAGAAACATCTCACATTGCATAAAACTCGAACTTGAAAAGATCAACAAGTCCACAACACTTAGTAAAATATTATATACACCTCCGAAAAGTCATCAACGGTAAATTTGATTACTTTCATTTCATAAAACCATTTCTTAATTACATCCCAGTTCCAGACAGCCCTCACAGAGTGAAGGTGTTTACAGTGACCCCAAGGAGCGTGCGCATAACATGGCGTAGTAATCCGGCCTCAACTAGCACCGTGACGCGTTACATGGTAAAGTGGCTGCATGTGGGTAACCCCGCTGACTCCAACGCAGATGGTCATAAGATTGTGAATGCGGGCTCTCCATACCGCAGGGAAGCCCTGGTTGGTGGACTGAAGCCTTTTAACATGTATTCTTTTATGGTGCGGGAGGAAGTTGGACAGGATAACTGGAGCGAGTTTTCTGCTGCTGTGAATGTCATGATGCCAGAAGATGGTATGTTGAAGTTCCACAAAATTATGCGAACTGTTTCACCCCTTATACTAGGCTTTGATAAATTTTGCTCGTAAAAGTTACATAAAATGCCATGAGCATTGCTAATATATTTCTAAAATTGTGCCAATAATTATGCTAGTTCTTGTAAATTATGCTCATTTTAGAAGAAAATGCAAAAAAATATGCTTCTTCTTTCTACTTTAAATTTGGTTTAAGACACACAATACAAAAAAAAAGCAAGTAAATGGCAAATACGTTAACTTTTATTTGCATTTAGAAAAAGCATAATTCATTGTTTGACAACGGATACAGAAGTTTTGAAAATTAACAACCAGCAGGCGGACGCCATCTTGGGTAGCCGAGCAAGTTATGCGCATGGGTTGAGTCCTATGAAAAGAGTCTTGGGTGACCTCCTGTGGGACATAGGTCCCATGAATTTGACAATAAGCAAACAAAAAATTGATTTGACTGACATTCACATTTTGGCGCCAAGAATATCAAAACCAACATTTTGAATTGCGTTTTTACCTGCACATTTTGAGGAGACAACAGAAGTCCTTTGTTGCTTTTTAGAAAATTTGACTTCTTACATACATCATGTGTAATTTATTTTTTGTATTGTAGGATTACCGAAATGTACGGAAGAACTCAGGTTTTCGTTAAAAGCAACAAAGGACTACTATGCACTCAAGATTTAGTGTGTAGTTTCTTTAAGTTCATTTGTTACATTATTCAAAGTGACAAATATATTCAATCAGTAATATTTAGTTGACTTTGTATTTCCATACAAACTTTTAATTTTTCCACCATCTTGTCCCGATTACCCATCATGCCGTTACAACTATGGTACGTTCGCTTTTTGTTTGATATGGTTTGATATAATACTTGGGAGGTACATTTCAATTCAAAGTGGGCAGACGGCAAATAGTTGTTACTCGAAATATGGTAACTGTCTGAGACGAAGCTGTGATTTTGCCAACAACGACGCATAGCTGGCATTATTAACAAAATGAACTTTACAACCGTGACACAGCGTCTTTAAGCGTAAATTTAAGATGTGGCAGTCATTTTTCTCACCCCCTCGCTTTTTACAAGAGTCGTTTTC